ACCCTAAACCCTAAACCCCCAAGAGTCTTCAGGAACTTGGCATCGACCCCAACCCTGCGCGAACAACCCGAGTTACACACCAAACAGAGGAAAACCCGAACTTCCTAGAACTACCCCTAGGCCCCATAGTAGCTCCTTTTTGGGGTTACCTCATAGGATTCTATGTATGAACCCCAAAAAGGAACTACTTTAGGGCCTATGGGTAAGCCTAAAGCCGCCCTAAACCATCAACTCTAAGCCGACCTCCATCGACCGGGTTGAAACCCGACAGCGGCGCTGCCGTCGTCGTGGTAGGAAGGTCGCCTGAAATACGCGAGGAGCTCCAGGGCTTGAGCGTAATTTGTGGTCGACTGCCCCTAGCATGGGCCTTTAACCTGGGATCCTTATACCCCTACTATATACCCTATATGTACCCTTAAGGGTCCCTAGAAAGCTAAGGGTCCATATTAGAAGCCCCATACTTCTAACCCTATATACACAGCTTAAGAGGACTATTGGGCACAGAACCCCGGGGTTCGACAAGTGTACGGAGAGACTCTGCCATCCCTCGACACAAGCATCCGGGGCTCCTGCGAGGCTTTTCTACAGGCTTAAATTGTGAGGGTTTAGGGTTTAGGGTTTAGGTGTTTGTTTTCGATGTGAACTAAATATGTCGATAGACTGGACGTTGTTACTGGTTCTTCAGACCTCTATGAAGAAGTCAGAGCCCAAGAGCCCACAAAACCGCCGCCCCATAAGGGCTTCTTGAATAGCGGTTATTGGTCCTCACTGCAAGGATCCTACTGTTTCAGGTCTACATGTTGTCCGCTATGTACCGCCCGGAATCATGCCGGTAAACAACTTACCCCGAATGGAGGGGCCTGAATCATTCGAATAGGCTCTTGAGGGGTATATCCTTGTATAGCTATGACATGTAGCCCTAAGGACTAATCGCGGAAACCATTCCTCTGCCCCTTTATCAACTCACCAAACCCTAAACCCTAAACACTAAATCAACTCACCGGCCGGATCACCGAAGCGTAAGCAGGTGTAGTGCTCCAGGGCAATGGAAGCCCGGATTCCGTCCTCCCGGGTCCACACCTCGCAGCGCCCTCCGACCTGAGTGACAAGGCTTTTGAATGGGTTTTGGGCTTGGGGGGTTTAGGGTTTAGG